GTGGGGGACCAAACAGCGGATCTTCTCATTCAGACAGATACTGGGTCTTCCCATAACTTGCGTCGTTTCAACCTCTTCCAGCAAAGTTCTATCAGTTTTCCTTTTAGAGGCCACACACTTTTGTCAAATGTATTCCTAGGTACTCTGGTGATACTATAGTAAGAAATTATAGCTACTTTAGGTGTGATACTGTGCTGTTTTTTCCAAAGGTTCCTTATCTTTCAAATATCTGCTTCAGACCATCCAAGTACGGACAAGACCGGCCAGGTGCCGATGCAGCGCCCTGTTCTCCGCATGACTGTGCGTCTTGAAATTTTCTACTTTGAAAGGTTTTTAAAACACCCCTACGCGTTTGCTGATTTCACTGACATTGCCGGCATCATGTTTTCTAACTGGTTATCGCGGCTCTACAAGAAAATGGTTTTCAGATCTTGATCACACACGAGTTCAGCTCACCAGACCTAACAGTCTTAGCTGATCTTCCTGCGTGTTTTAGATGGACGATTACATTCCCAGCAAACTCCTGTCTTTTTAAATATTGATGTTCCCTGCTGGTTCTTCTCTTACAGAATCAGCAGGAGTTGTCGACGCTGCTGTGCTGACACTAGAGGTGAAAGCAGCAAGTCCTCCCCCTTTTCATGACTGACGAGAACCGCTTCGAATTTCTCACTACGAAATAACCCTTTTCGGAGGATTCTGACGGCTTCAGTCAGCTTTATTTAATGTTAGTTTCCTTTTAATTTCACTGGGTAGTCTTACATTTTAAACAAGATCGAGCGATGACACTACCGACCGAAAGAGGCAGATTAACACAGTTAACGTCACTCCTGCTGCGCTCGGTGCAGTGGCTGCAAGGAAGGACGAAGCTGCTCCGCACTGCAACCACGGCAGCCAAGGAGCACGCACGCCGCACACCCTGGGAAACTGGACAGAGAAGGGGCAACAGCCGACATGAAAATAAATAAGCAAATAAAAAAGGGACCTGCATTCTGAGGCAGCTGAACTGAGAGAGCTAAAGCCTGCGTCAGCCAGGAAGGCAGCAAACCAGGGTGGCACGCACGGGACTCACGGCTGCCCTCGCCCAGCTTCCAGCTGGGACCTGCCAGCCCCCGACCCAGCAGGACACGGCCCCCGTCACCAAGCCCAGCTACAGCTTTGGGCTAAAAGGTGAGGGTCCGGCTTCCCCCTAACCTGCACCCAGAGTGACCGCCACGCCTAAGTGACAGGACTTGGAGACTGATTTCGGATCTCAGTGGCTAGACGAGGATGCCAGTCGCTCCCGTGAAAAGGCCGCAAGTGGAGGAAGAGGTCGTGTTGACTATACACACAACATGGGCTCGTTTCCAGACCCAAGAACTACAAAATGCTTTTCAAAAAAGACAAACGACTCAATAAATAGATGGCTGCGACTTAAACTGCACTTCACAAAAGAAGGCATCCACATGGCAAATAAGCACACGAGAAAGTTCTCAACCTTCTCGGCAATCAGGACAGTGCGAGTTAAACCACGAAGCAACACCCTGCCCCCCCCCCGGCAAGCCAGGACCGCGGACCGACACGCGGAGAGGGCTGCTGGACGTGAACCGGCACAGTAACCTCGGGAAACTGCGTGCCGCTGTGAGGCAGGGCAAAGCCTCGCCTGGGTGTGCGCCCAAGGAAACACGCGTGCACAAGAACGCTGGCAGCAGTTTCATTTGTGACAGCCCTGCTGGAAACCCAGATGACCGCCAACGCTGGAATGGACACGTGAACTGCGGACAGTCACGCTAAGGAATGCTTTATCACGGTGGTTCCTCAACATTTTGGTCTCAGGACCCCCAGACTCTGTAAAAAGAATCACTGAGAACCTGAAAGAGCTTTTTGTTAACATGGGTTATAGCGACTTACATTTACTGCAGTAGAAATGTCAGCTGAGGCCAGATGCGGTGGTTTACACCTGTGAGCCCAGCACTTTGGGAGGCTGAGACAG